GCGGCGCGCGCGCGCGGCGCGGTGTGGCGCGCGCGCGCGTCCCCGGGGTGGGGGCTTCTCCATAGTGTACGGGCGTATACGGTAGATGACGCGCACAACACCCACGCGATGCCTCGGCCGAGGCCCATCGACGCGCGCGCGAGCGCTCGACGCCCGCGCCGTGACATGCGCGACGAGCGATGCGTCTCGGGATCGATGCCGAGGCGATGGGGGAGATACGTCGCGCGAACGCGGCGCACGCGCGGCGGATGGCGGAAGATTCGGCGCGGGAAGAAAATTCAGACGATTCGGACGACGGCGCGCGCGCGTCGCGCTCGATCGCGTCGTTCGAACGCGCGTTCGAGCGATGGAGGAAGAACCCGCGGTCGCTGTTAGTGTTCGCGCCGAACAGTGGGTTTCGAGAGGGGTGTCGGAAGGTTGTCGAGAGCTCGGCGTTCGAGACGGCGATCGCCGGGTGCATCGTCGCGTCGAGCGTCGCGGTCGCCGTGGTGAAACCCAAGCGCGATGGAACGAGTGAAGAGATGTGGTTGACGATTATGGGGTACGTCTTGACGGCGGTTTTCGGTCTGGAGGCGATTTTGAAGATTATCGCGCGCGGGTTCGCGTTCGGCGAGGAGACGTATCTCTCGGCGCGGTGGAATCAATTCGACTTTTTCTTGGTCACGGTGAGCTTGATTTTGTTGCCCATCGGTGGAAACTCTGTGATGGTGTTTCGTCTGTTACGAGCGCTGCACGTGTTTAAGATTTTTAATCGGTACCGGAGCGCGCGGTTGGTGATGCGGACAATCTTCCGAGCGCTCCCGCTGTTGGGGGACGTGTGTTTGTTCTTGCTCTGGTTCGTGATATTCTTCGCCGTGAGCGGGGTGACGGTGTTCGGTGGACGACTCACGGGTAGATTATACGGGACGCCGCCAGCGCAGGAGGGGAACGCGTCGTACGCGTTGCCGACGGGCACCGGGAAGGAGGTGTGCGCCAAGCTCGTCGCGGAGTGGTTGGGGAACGAGTCGTTAGGTGCCGCGGGGACGTATCCAGACGCGTACAACAGTACGTGTAATTTCGCGTCGTGGAACACGAATCAAAGCGTCGAGGAGTATTGCTGCGACTCGGGGGTAGCTCCGTATGATGGATTTTTAGACTTCGATGACGCGTTCAGAAGCGCCATCGTGACGCTCAACGGAATGACGATCGACGGTTGGAACGAGCTTTTAAATCCTGCGGCGTACGGTGTAGGCTTCGTGAACGCGTTCATTTGGTTCATAGCGGTCGTCATTGTCGGGGGGTTTTTTATGATGGAGCTCTTCACCTCGGTGATCTGCGCGACGCTGCAGAGCATCGTTGACGACGACAGCCAGGAAGAGAAAGAAGGGGAAGAAGAAGAAGAAGAAGAAGAAAAAGAAAAAGAAGAAGAAGAAGAAGAAAAAGAAGAAGAAGAAGAAGAAGAAGAAAAAGAAGAAGAAGGAAATAAGGTGAAGGATAGTTGGAACGCACTGCGCGAGCGGTGCTTCATCGCGTGCAAGAGTGACAGGTTTAACAACGTCGTCACTGGCGTAATCATGCTCAACACGTTACTGATGATGGCGCAGCACGCAAACGCTAGTTCGACGTTTACGAGCACGTCTAATATCCTTGAGTACACTTTCCTCGCTGTTTTTGGGATGGAGATGATATTCAAACATATGGCTTATGGTTTCATCGATTATTGGAGATCAAAAGAGAACGCGCTGGACGGTGTTATCGTCGTCACCGGAGTCTTCAGCTCAGCCATGACGAGTCAGGGAGTAAGCGTGTCCTTCTTGCGTCTTTTGCGCGTCGGCAGAGCTTTTAGAACGTTTCGCGTAATCAGACGAAACAGAGAGTTCCGCAGAATCATCTCGAGTTCGGTGTTGGGCTTCCAAGACATGTGGCCCTTCTTGGTTGTCTGGATGCTATTTTCAGTCATCTTTGCCATCTTTGGGTTTCAACTATTCTCCGGGTTGGGGACGCTAGATGAGGAGCGCCTGACGTTCAAAACGTTCCTGAGAAGCACGTTGACGTTGTTCGTGATCTCCTCTGGCGAAGACTCTTTCACCGTAGCATGGAGCACCATGGTGGCATACGGAAACAATTTCATCGTCTTCTACACGATCGGTTGGATTCTGATTTCGACTGTCATTCTTTCGCTCGTTCTTGGTATCTTAATCGATTCATGCGCGCTAGTAGAAATGGAAGATGATCACGCAGAAGCGGAAGAGCGAGTAAAGGAGAAGAAGGAAAAATTGGACGAAGCGGTGGAGCGCGCATCGCACATAGAGCTCGCATCCGAGAACGCACTGAAGCGCAAGGTGCAAAATTTTACCTTCGCCTTGACTGCGCTCGAAAGCACCGGGGCACTGAGCAACAAATCCATGTCCGAAGATGAATTTCTAGGAAAGGCTTTTTCATCAGTCGTGCCGAAAGAGCTTGGCGGAAAACTCAAGAACGAACCACTCAAGGTTTCCACGTCAACCTCTTTGGCGGAAGGACTGAAATTGAAAGATAATGCGGGAAAGATTGCGCAAGTAAATGCTGCTCGGAAGAGAAAAGA